TATATATATACTGTTAATTGCGTAAGAGGAAATTATGCTGGTTATTATAATAATAATCTTAACGTAGGTGATGATAATAATGATAATAGTGATATTAATTATGATAACGATAATGGTATTCATACTGAGCCGGATAGCAATGTTGACTATAAATATTACGGAAAAAAGCTATTGTTGCCGTTCTCACACAAATACTATAGATAACATGACACGGGACAAATGCTTCTCTCTTTATCTCAGAATCTAAAACACGGAATGAATGCACATTATCGAAGCTGAATACACAGTCTACTGAAGAACCAAAACGTAAAAGACCCGTGGGCTGAATTTTACATGACGATGAAGATTACAAGCTAAATTAAACGCGATACAATTTTTATCAGTGTACTATCTCGACGAGGTTATAAGTAATATGCCGTTTCTAATTTTATATCTTGACTTCTGTTTGGATTGACCTTTGACACAAAGAAAGTTTAATGTGTCTTGACATAAATCGAATTGACAAAATGCATAGTTGGCGTATTGATAGACCTATATCTTTAAAGTACGTGTCCATCGTGTTGCAGTTTAACGCGAATTTGACCTAATTCACAGGCACATGCAGATATGCAAATGTTGACAGCTTCCAAAATATGAAATTTCTGTAAATCTATAAATCAATCGACACTTTCTCAACATCAAATAATTGGTCTAATGGTTACGACACTTGCCTTGAACGCGAGAGGTCGCAGGTTCAAATCCCGTCCGAGGATTTTATAATCAAAGGACTACATTCGTTGAGAGCTATGATACACCATATACCATCATGTCCTTTATTTGAACACTGCAGTTTCTTTCTTTGATGATTTATATTTATATAGCGTTTCTATATACTGTATAATATATACTGAATATATAATTGTGAAGGCGAATAGAATCATAATAACAAAAATCAGGTTTGACATTACTTTTGAAACATAATTTATTTAATTATTATCATACCTAATACGCATGTGCAAACATGTGTGAAGGTCTCAGATTTTAGACGATTCAAGACGATTTAAATATCTTCTGTTTCGCCTCTACTAACATTGAGGGATGAGGACCATATCATACTAACGTAGATAATAATACTAACGATAATAACAATGATGATAATAATAATAATAGGCCTAATATAATAATAATAATAATGATAATGATAATAATATTATTAATAATGATAATAATTTAAAAAAAAAAATAATTAAAAATAATAATTAATTAATAATATTGTCATCATATAGATTAACATTTTAATGATTATAACAAGGATTGTTTATTTATTTATTTATTTATTTCAGTTGGGAGAAAAGCTAATACAGCACAAAGCTGATTTGAAGAGGAACTTTATGGAGAGTAAAGTACTGTTACAACGAGACAAACAATAAATTAACTAAATTATTAATCATCTTCATAAAAGTTGAGGATGCTTGAAAGCTTCCCCGAATAACAGTCTTCTACTTGTTCTGATTCAGTAATTTGAAGTGTCTGTGATGAGTTTTTTTTTTTTTTTTTTTTTTTTTTTTTTTTTTTTTTAATGTAGGCCTAATTGATTACCGGTCTACTCTTAGATCATGTTCCACGCATTGGTTCACAGAATAATATTGACTTTGCAATTTCATTTTCACGTCATGTGGCCTGCAACTTTCAGGTGACTAATTATAATAATCATATTAAACTCATCATCGATATTAAGATTATTGCAGCAGCTCCTTGTATGAGTTTTCATACAAGAATCTGCTTATATGAAACTAATTCAAGAAGGTCCTTGTATGGAAACAAACTTATACAAGGTCCTTGTATGAGTTAGTTTTCATATAAGCAGGTCCTTGTATGAAAACTAACTCAAACAAGGTCCTTGTATGAGTTTTTATAGTTTCCGCCATTCGGTACTAAACATCAATTTCTTCTTCTACACTTCCAATCTGCATTCAATTACATCGTCCAACAAACTATATGTGACCAATCCATTACTTCTTCCTGTTTCTAATAAATTTAATGCTAACAATAATAACTGTTGTTGTTTCCATTGCAATAATAATATAATGATAATAATAATAATAATATTTATAGGAATAATAATAATGAAAATAATAATGAAAATAATAATAATAATAATAAGAAGAAGAAGAAGAACGCTCAGAAAAAAACCATATCTCTGCCCGCCGTAAATCCCTTTCTATAAAACGAATCTCCCAAAATATGTTCATAATTTACTTCAACCACCACCACAACTACCACCCCACCTCACGTCGCTCCACTCCTCCTTAAAAACTCACTCGCTCAAAATAATACTGTGGCCATTTTCAGATTTTGTAATCCGAAATTATTTTTCCGAAATCCTTTTCACTACACATGTTACCATTTGAACACAAAATCCAACATATAATATTGAAACATCTTTTTTTTTTTCAACTATTGAGACTGTAAAAAAGTAACAACCCACTAACTTTCCAACCACCACGTACTTAGAAAAAAAAATACTAACCGGCCAACAAAAAACGCTTTTTACTGTATTAGTTGTATATCGCCAATTCCTTACGTCTTCTGGTTAAACACACAGAAACATTTTACTTCTATAGTTGACAAGAAAAACACATGCCAAGTATTGGTGTTGAAATGAAAATACCCAAATTAATAAGAAATATGGGGTATTGGTTTTTAGCGTCACATGTTTAAATATAAAGATGCATTTCTAATCAGTTCACAAATAAGTGGAGTTAGTGCATACTGTATACATTTACTGTAATTGCACTAACTTGAAGATTCATCATACAGTTATTGTATCTGCCTATATACGGTATAGGTATACAGTAAATATATTCTTTAAATTGTCCTCAAACCCTATTCAGTGGCGGATCCAGGAATTTGTAATAGAGGGGCCCCTGAGAGGTACTTTTACACATGGGGTCTATACTACCTCAGCCCCACAATGGTTGCGGCTGAGGTAGGAAAGTTTATGATTATGCCTCTAGATAGTCCAAAATGGCACTATTATACTACAAATTTGAGTAGAATTTTCATTTTTTCTCAGATTTTTTTAATTTGAAAAATTTAGGGGGACGGGGCCGGGCCGGCTTTCCCCCACCCCCTACCCAAGTCCGCCACAGCTACTGTACTTCGGATCATTGAAACGTGACAAACTATTATGGAAAGCGTCGTTTTGATCAATTGATCCATTTTAGAGATATTAGGTCTGGCACCTAATGGCCCTCAAATGCACACCCGAATTTGGATCGTCACCAACACTTCTTAAATTCTTCCGTGTAATTTTGTTAAACTTTCACACACTTTCATTCAGATCAGTTGATTATTTTTTGAAAAATCTGGTCTCTCGGACGTTTTTCTTTTAAATGGTCCTCATATCCACACCCTACTCCGGGTCGTCACCAAAATGTAATCACCTCATCTTTATGTCACTCCCTGTAACTTTTTAATAACAATAATAATAATAGTAATAATAATAATAATAATAATAATAATAATAATAATAATAATAATNNNNAATAATAATAATAATAATAATAATAATAATAATAATAATAATAATAATAATAATAATAATAATAATAATAATAATAATAATAATAATAATAATACAGGTTTTCCT